AATGGCGATGACCTCCAACCAAAAGGCGATGACCTCCAACCTAATGGTGATGACCTCCAACCTAATGGCGATGACCTCCAACTCAATAGCGATGGCCTCCAACCCAATGGCCTCCAACCTAGGTGATGGCCTCGAACCTAGAAGCGATGGCCTCCAACCTAATGGTGATGGCCTCCAACCTAGAAGCGATGACCTCCAACCTACTAGCGAACGAAAGGAAAAGACTAAACAAAACCTACTATTAGCCTTCCTGAAACATCGTTTGCGCAAAGTCACTCGGCTCGACATGCTGAGCTCCACGGAGATGTCCTCAAAGACCAAATTGTCAGCACCTCAAAACCGAATAGGTGTACAAGGAGTTCCCGGGCAAGCCGGCGGCGGAAGTTTCCTATAAGAAGAAACTGACCTATAGGAGTGTCCACGTTCTCTCCAACACGCGCGTCCTCCAGTCAGGCGCACGCGCTCCGGACTTTTGACCCACGGGATTCCACGTGTGTAAGGTGTGTGCCCCCCTGCGAGAGATGACACACATCCGGCCACCACGACTTGCCAAGGATGCGGTCCACATCAACACACATCCCACCGTGGCATTCTTCAGTGGCGGCAGAATTGGCATGTAATCCGAATTGGCATGTAAAACCTGTCACGCATAAATGCAACCAAATACTGTCAGTATGAACTGCGCCCAAAACTTCAACCTTAAGTACAAACCGACCTGCCAACAAAACAATCAATTGCAACCAGTGTTGGGTTATGATGAGTGGTGTATGATGAGTGGTGTATGATGAGTGATGTATGATGAGTCTTGTATGATGAGGGGTGTATGACGAGTGATGAATGATGAGTGGTGTATGTTGAGTGGTGTATGATGAGTGGTGTATGATGAGTGGTGTATGCTGACTGGTGTATGATGAGCGGTGTCTTGACCAGCAGTTGAATGTCCTGTCCTGCATAAGTGCAACCAAATACTATCAGTATGAACTGTGCCAAACATGCACGCCGCGAGAGATGACTCAGCAGCGAGAGATGACTCAGTCGCGAGAGATGACTCAGCCGAGAGAGATGGCTATAGCGAGAGCTGACTCAGCAGCGAGAGATGAATGAGCAGCGAGAGATGACTCCTCCGCGTACTACACTTGTACTACAAAGTGTCCAGTTCTCCGCTTCCAGCTCCACAGGTTGTTCCGCGTGCTACAGTTGTCCTAGACAGTCGCCAGGCAGTTCTCATCTTCCAGCTCCCCAGATGCTCCGCGTACTGCAGTTGTACTACACAGTCGCCAGTTCTCAGCTTCTAGCTGCACAGATTGCTCCGCGTACTAAAGTTGTTCGACAATGTCGCCAGTTCTCCGCTTCCAGCTCTACAGATTGCTCCGCGTACTAACGTTGTACTCGAAAGTCGCCAGTTCTCAGCCTCCACCTCGCCAGATTACTCCGCGTACTAAAGTTGTACTACAAAGTCGCCAGTTCTCAGCCTCCAGCTCTACAGATTGCTCCGCGTACTAAAGTTGTACTAGAAAGTCGCCAGTTCTCAGCTTCCAGCTCCACAGATACTCCGCGTACTAAAGTTGTATTACAAAGTCGCCAGTTCTCATCTTGCAGCTCGCCAGATACTCCGCGTGCTAAAGTTGTACTACAAAGTCGCCAGTTCTCAGCTTCCAGCTCTACAGATTGCTCCGCGTACTAAAGTTGTACTAGAAAGTCGCCAGTTCTCACCATCCAGCTCCACAGATACTCCGCGTAGTAAAGTTGTACTACAAAGTCGCCAGTTCTCCTCGTCCAGCTCGCCAGATACTCCGTGTACTAAAGTTGTACCACGAAGTCGCCAGTTCTCAGCTTCTAGCTGCGCAGATTGCTCCGCGTACTGAAGTTGTACTACAAAGTCGCCAGTTCTCATCGTCCAGCTTGCCAGATACTCCGCGTACTAAAGTTGCACTACAATGTCGCCAGTTCTCAGCTTCCAGCTCACAAATTGCTCCGCGTACTAAAGTTGTACTACAAGAGCCGCCAGTTCTCAGCTTCCAGCTCTCCAGATGCTGTGCCTGCCACGAAATCTGCACATGGAGGTTCACAAAGTGCTGTGCCTGCCACGAAATCTGCACATGGAGGTTCACAAAGCGCTGCACCTGCCACGAAATCTGCACATGGAGGTTCACAAAGCGCGCTGTGCCTGCCACGAAATCTGCACATGGAGGTTCACAAAGTGCTGTGCCTGCCACGAAATCTGCACATGGAGGTTCACAAAGTGCTGTGCCTGCTACGAAATCTGCACATGGAGGTTCACAAAGTGCTGCGCCTGCCACGAAATCTCCACATTGACGTTCACAAAGCGCTGCGCCTGCCACGAACTCTACACATGGAGGTTCACAAAAAGTGCTGCACTTGCCACGAAATCTGCACATGGAGGCTCACAAAGTGCTGTGCCTGCCACGAAATCTGCACATGGAGGTTCACAAAGTGCTGTGCCTGCCACAAAATCTGCACCTGGAGGTTCACAAATTGCTGCACCTGCCACGAAATCTGCACATGGAGGTTCACAAAGTGCTGTGCCTGCCACGAAATCTGCACATGGAGGTTCACAAAGTGCTGTGCCTGACATGAAATCTGCACCTGGAGGTTCACAAAGTGCTTGGCCTGCCACGAAGTCTGCACCTGGAGGTTCACAAAGTGCTGCACCTGCCACGAAATCTGCACATGGAGGTTCACAAAGTGCTGCGCCTGCCACGAAATCTGCACTTCAAGAGACAGGTGAAAACCTAATCACAATGGACGGCCGACCGACCATGACCCGAGACCGTCTCGCAACCGTCGTTCCGCAGAGCTAGACTTGCCAGGTTCGAAGCCACCGGTTCTATTGAAAAATACAGCATTTCGTGCGTCCGCTATCTCTCGAAAACGCATTTTGTATTGCAC